GGCCCCGGGCCCGCCTGCGCTCTCGCCGCCGCTCCCAGCCCCGTCCCGCGGCACGGCCGGCCTCCGGGCTCAGCTCTGCGGGGCCCCTGCTCGGTCCTGCTGCCTGGGAGCTGTCCAGCACCGCTCCCCGCCCTCCCGGCCGCTTCCCGACTACGTCCTTGGCTCTGGAGGTGCAGCTGCACTAGGCCCTTCCATCCTGCTACCCACCACTGGGGCTGCGGGGCGGGGAGACACAACCGGTGGGAGGCAAATGAAAAGAAGTGGGGAGACAGGGAAGAGCCGTGGGAATGAGGAGTTAAGTGACAACGGGCGCTGGTGGCCATTGCGAGAGGGGGCTTCACTCTGACTTTCCACAGGGAAAGCAATAACAACTGGGCTGTAGGGCAGGAGGTAGGATGTAGCTTTGAGTGCTGAGAAGAACAAGACTTACTGGAAACCTTCACCTCAGGGCCCTGGGCCTGGACTGTGGGGAGTAAAGACCCAAGTCTCCTTTCCTTGAGGCCCCATATGCCTGCTCAGCAGCAAGGGAGGTACGTATAGATGCTTGTCTGTTCTGGAGCTAAATGAGCTAATGGACCTGGGCTGGACAGGAGACTTTAAACTGCCTCCAGCTTAGCAGGACAATATCGGACTATGATCAGTTGTGGCCTTTACTAGGCCCCAGGAGGGAAACTCAGGCTGTGCACACATATATAACAATTAAAATGTTTCAAACACCCTTGAAACATGTCAAAAGCTAGCCATAGACATGTATCCTCTGAAACAGTCTAGAAGTGGCTGAAACCCTACAAAACATTACTTCCACACAATAAGAGCTTTTCGGGAGTGTTTCACTTGTGGTTACACTGGCATGGGGACAGAGGGAGAGCGGGTGGACAGCCTGACTGCTCTTCAGCTGCTGGGTCCCACTCTAGGTCCCGGAGTACAGCCAGGTCCTCACTGGGACCCGACACACTCTGCTGGGATCCCTGTCGCAGGCTAGCTGGGCACTGAGAGTAATCCATTTAGTTGCAGACTGACTGAGCGCTGCAACTTTATTAGCTACTGGGCTTTTTGGTTCGGGATCCAGGAGGAGATGTCGGGAAGGAAAGCAACGACAAGTTCCACTTATAAAAAAGAATAAATTTTACTTATAGCAACAAAAAATATAGTTTACACATATAACGGTTAGTAAAAAGGTTAAGCTAATAAACAGACAACATAACAATACAAATTAAAATTGGTAGTAATAATAAAACAGATAGAGAAATTAACTAAGAGTACTCACTTGGTTAGTAACTTATCGATAGTCTTTCAGTTAGAAACATGTCAAGTTGATTCAGCGAAGTCAGGCGTCTCTGATTTACTCTGTCAGAAGGAAAACTGGAGGAGGTCCCTCAGTCAGGATCTGGTCTTCGTTCACACAGGGAATAAGAGAGATCCAGGGGAATGGAACAGCAATGCCCCTTCTGTTCCATCCTTCCTGAGGGTTACTTAGCATGTGTGTTCTTTTATATCTTGTTTATGCTAATTTTTTAGTTATATAGCTATTCATAATGTTACTCTATAGCTGTTATCTTATGGGGTTAAAAGGTGTTAGACATCATTACAATAAGTTACTGCTCAAGCTTGGGTTTACTTAATAAACAAATCACACTACATTACTTTGGGGTCTGAGATTAACACGGTCTCACTCAAGTTCAACTCACTATGTTAATTATACCTTGTGATTAGGTCATTAATTTTTTTCTTAACTCTAAGCAAAAATTATAAAAATCAGTTAGGTTTGCAGTTTATTTCTTCAGTTCTGCTTTTCAAAGTTCAAGCTGTCTGAAAAAAGAGTTATACATATATTCTTGTGAGTTATACTCCATTCAAACAAGAAACTATTTCATAAGCTACTCCAGATATCTTCAAAAAGCATTTTCTTTTGTTATAACTGCTTATTAACCCTTCGAATTCTAGCTATCACAGCTCCCCACCCTGGCCAGACCTGGAGCTGAAGCAACTGGATGCATACATCTGTGTTTAAACACTTCATACGCTTTGTACGGTCATTCTTGCCCTCCTTTTACTGAATCCGCGTGTAGGACTGTCACCCTGTCCCTTGTTGTGATACACACACCATGGAGAGAGAAACTCTCTGAGGAAGGAACTATCCTTTTACAGCATGTGAGAAGAGTTTTTGCACATCATGGACTGTTAGAAAAATCACACATAATAAAGAACAGACCAGTTAACCCTCTGGCTCCTGAGGGGGCATTTGTAGCAGGGTAAATTGATATGGAACTGGACCTGAATCAAAGAAATAGCCCCTTGGGCACAAACAGATGCACCACTTCCAAGCATTGCTCAGTGAGCAGCAGCAGGGGGGTTGCTGCTCTGCCCAGGGGGCCAGGATGAGCATGCATCCCAGCATGCCCTGCAGTGGTCCAGTCCCCAGCACTTCCCAGGGATTCCCCAGCACAGAGGAAAGTGCTGATTGACTAACTGGAGGAGGATC